AGGGGGTTGGGGGGGGGGGCGGCGTTAAAGGTTAATAAAGTTAGCTGTAAACTCCGACTCGTGCGTTCGGAGCTCAGGGATTCGTACAACAACAACACGCTGTAGTCAGAGGCCAATTAAGAATCAATTACGACGCTGGTATTAATTTATAATGAGAGCAAATGATTTCTTTCTTCTGACACTTTTATTGCTGTGAATTATTGATGACTAACGGTGGATTCTATTACGACGATAAAAGACATTAAAGCTGCGGCGTCGTGATTTAACCGCCCGTGGAGAAGTTTTTAGATTCTCGCAGAAACACTAAGTCGATCGTAGAAACCGGAACCGGTTTTATTCACCGACGCATTATCACGACGTAATGAACCGACAACCGCACCATCGGTGGACGCTCCTTTTAAACCTTAACGTTAATAAAAAAAAAAAAAAAAATTTTATATATTTCTGTTAAAAAGACTTTCAAACATTTTTAAATATAAAATGTATGTATTTTCATTTTTATTACGCTTCTATCCACAGACGTGTGTTTGGTTCAGTTATGTCATCTGTGGGAAAACGTTTTTTTTTTTCTTCCTCCTGATCAGTTAGTGAAAATGAAAAGGGGAAGAGGAAGGAAGGAGGTGAGAGATGACGGGGGAGAGAGGGGGGAGAGTGAGAATCTGAGATAATGAGTGAGAGGAGGCCGACTGTTTGTTACGTGGCAGGATTTTTCACATCAATTAGAGCTGAAAGTCATGTGTGGTTCACAGTAAATGAGACGGCGGTTTTTTCTTCTTCGTTATTCTTTTAAAAAAGAATTTAAAAAAAACGACTCGTGTCATCGTTGACTCCCGAGAGTTTAGTAAAAAAAAAAAAAAAAACCAAAAAAGTTTTTTTTAGCTGGATGTCAATCACTCAGCTTTGCCTCCTGACACACACACACACGCGCGCGCGCTGTCACGACGCTGCTCCTGTTTGACTGTATATGAACGACTGGACGTGTTTGACTCGACTCCGAGTCTCCGTCTCTCTGGATTTCCCATCATTCCTCACCATCTTTGACTTCTGTTCTGTTTCTAACCGTGAGGTGATGACGAACAGAAACGTGTTTGTTACGAGCGCTTGATCATCAGGGAGGAGGCGGAGCCTGATGAACAGTTAATGTCACATCAGGTCAGAGACGTTGGTCCGTGATGACACTGTGTGTGTGTGGCAGGACATGCAGGTGCT